ATTCAGTGTGCTGCTTTGCTTATTTCCCCTCCAATATCAGGTCTTTTCTTACCTCTAAAACCCACATCAGATTTGAGGGAGCAGCAACATGCTTGCCCTGCCCAGGCAGAACAACATGAACAGGAACCAAGTGCTGGGGTTAAGATCTAAAGAGAAAAGCCCATAAGAGCCTTTTTTTCTGTAGCTTCGAAAATTAACATTCTGGAAGACAACTTGCAGCATTTCCTATTTTTAAGTTTCTCAAATGAGCTTTGAGATCATTTTTAAAAGTCCACTGCTTGTAAGACATTTGACCTCCAGAGAAGAAAAGAAGCACTTTCTCCTTCTTCCAAACCTACATTTAAAGTGTCACTGGCTCAGAGAGGACAGGGAGAGATGCACAGCTCAGTGTTTCATTTAGTTTGTTTTTTTTTTACCTGACCCAGCCTGAAGCTGGTGCCTGGCTACAGCTTCAGCTGCCCCTGAAGCCAGTAATGCTTTTGCTTGTGTGGCTGACTGCTGAATTGGCAAAAGCTACCTTTGCAAAACCCCCTTTGCCAGAACACCTTTTTGTGTTTGCATTAAAGAGGCAAAAATTTAGATAAGGCTTTTGCCAATGATATCTTTGTCTATTGGAGCAGATGTTAGAGAGTGATAAAATAAACTACAATTTCCTCAGTGTTTTAGCTCTCCTCAGAATTCGCTCCTCGTGAAGGAACTCAGTGGAAGGTGGATAAGCATAAGGGGAAAAGCAGCAATTCCTGCTTCAGCTCCTCTCTAAGTCATAAGATGTACAGAAGTATTTAAAAAAGGGGGAAAGAAAGCTGGAGAAGACATTTCTACAAGGGCTGAAAGCATTTCTGGAAAGAAGAGGAACAATTAACATACACATGGAAAAGTTCCTCAATCTTGATGACATTACTAACTTGCTTTTTTTAAATTTAGGTGCTAAATGAATCTTTATAGAGAGCAGTAAAAAAAGAGCCTGGAAATATTAAAACCCACATGTAACTGTTCCCTCATGCTTTGCACAACTGTTAATTGCACAGGTCTTGCTGAAATGAAAAGACAAATACAGAAAATACAGGGTGATGAGGAGTGCACATACTTCATTACAAACCAGTACTTGATATTTCTATTAGTTACAAGAGAAGTTTGAGGACAGTGGTGACTAATACAACTCCCTAATCCTTGGTCAGCTTTAGAAACCCTCCTCATAAGGTCAAGGTCAGGACAAGGTTGCTTCCTTAATAAAAAGAGGGAATATGGCATCTCTAATGATTGCTTCTGGCTGTTTTTCTCCTTATCTATAAGAAGGCCACAGTGAGCATTTGCTTTCTTAAAGTCATGCAGAGCTCTTCGCTTTACCTGCAGACGGATCCTCGCTGCCCACCCCAGGGCACAGCCAGGGACCTGAAAGTGGATCTGCAAGATGGATGTTTCAGGTTGAAGATCACAAATTTAGGGCTGCCTTCACAGGGAAGTTCAGTTAAGGTGGTAGAATCCTGTTAGCATTCAATTACTTAGTACCTTAGATAACCTACTGTTTATTTTAATGTTACCCACTGAGGGAGGCTCCCCTAATGAATCTATTTTTGTAGTACCATGAAGGTTGAAGTTTAAAGCTAAGTTTAGAGCAGAGTCATATAAAAAATGTCAAACCAGGAAATAGCTTAATGAAAGCAGAGAGTAATCACAGCAAATTACAGTGAAATATTTATGGGATTACATTTTGCATTCCCCAAACAAGCAGAGGAATTCATCTCACTCACAGTCGTTCCATTTTGTTGAGAATTCACTGTAAGGATATGCTATGTCAGTAACATAATATGATGCCATAATAACTGTCTTAAAAGTTGCAGCCTAAGATGCTTTTTTGACCCTGCGGGAAGCCCATGCTGGAGCAGGCTCGTGGCAGGACCACTGGCCTCATGGAGAGAGGAGCCCACCCTGAGGGAGGTTTCCTGGCAGGACTTGAGACCCCACGAAGGATCCACACTGGAGCAGTTTGTGAAGAACTGCAGCCCATGGGAAGGACTCCTGTTGGAGAAGATCATGGGGAACTGTCTCCTTGGGGAGGGAGGAGCGGCTGAGGTCACTTGGTCTGTTCAGTCTGGAGAAGAGAAGGCTGAGGGGAGACCTCATTGCAGTTACAACTTCCTCGTGAGGGGAAGAGGAAGAGCAGGCACTGATCTCTTCTCTGTGGTGACCAGTGACAGGACCTGAGGGAATGGCCTGAAGTTGTGTCAAGGTAAGTTTAGGTTGGATATTAGAAAAAGGTTCTTTACCCAGAGGGTGGTTGGGCACTGGAACAGGCTCCCCAGGGAAGTGGTCACAGCACCAAGCCTGAAAGAGTTCTAGAAGTGCCTGGATGATACTTTCAGGCACATGGTGTGACTCTCAGGGATGGTCCTGTGCAGGGCCAAGAGCTGGACTCTATGATCCTTGTGGGTTCCTTCCAACTCAGCATATTCTGTGATTTTGTGACCCCATGCTGGAGCAGGGGAGGAGTGTGAGGAGTCCTGCCCCTGAGGAGGAAGGAGCAGAATAGACAATGTGTGATGAAATGACCACAACCCCCATTCCCATCCCCCAGTGCCACAGGGAGGGGAGAAAGGTAGAGAAAATTGCACGTCTGGGAAGAAGGGCTGGGCAGGGGGAAGGTGTTTTTTTAAGTTTTGGTTTTATTTTCTCATTAGCCTTTTCTGGCTTGTTTGGTAATAAATTCAATTAATTTCTCCCCAGGTCAAGTCTGTTTTGACCATGATGGCAAGTGGTGAGTGATTTCTCCCTGACCTTATTTCAACTCATGAGCCTTTCTTTTATTTTCTCTCTCCTATTCAGCTGAAGAGGGGGAATGGCAGAGAGGCTTTGGTGGGCACCTGGTGTCCCACCAGGGTCAACCGACCACACTGGTATTCACAGTGTGCTCCCACAAATCACTGCAGAATTTAATCCCTCTCTGCTGACAAACCCAGGTTTCACACAAGGAGCATCTGTAGTCAGCACATCATCTACTTGCCTTGAACACCTCCTCTGAAACAGTATATAAAGAGTTTTCACATATACAGGATATGCACCTTCTTCTCCCACCCTGCAGGTTATCACTCTTTCATGCAGGCTTTCCAGCCCACAGTCCAGCTGTAGCACTAACAAGAGAAAAGGAATTTCACATTGCTTTTTACCATATGTAGAAATTTTCTCTACTTTTCAACAGGTGTCCAACATGAGAGAAGGGTGGGAACTTCTGACCTCACTCCACTACTACTGCACAGCTTTTCAGGGTTTTTAGTGAGAAAAACATGTTGGATTTTTAGTAACAATGTCACTGCAAATCTCTCAAGGCTAATTTTTGGTGACAGCCACTGTAAATGCACTGGAACATACACAGAGCCACAGCATGACCCTAATAAAGGCAAACCAAGTTTCACCATTAAATTTCATCAAGACCTTGAAATGGTCTATAATGAGTAACATGAAATAAGATTTCAGTCCACAAAATAAAAAAAAAGGCAGGAAAAAAGCATGTGAATGGGATATTGTGTATTAACAGTAAGAAGAGGAAATTCATAAACCAGAAGCATGCCATGTGTCCATTTAAGATGATATGTGAAAATTATATTTACAAGATCTACATGACCTGCTACAAAGCAGTTACCCTTTCAGAGGAGAGGCTTTTGCAACAGGAAAAGCCTCTTATATTCAGCTTTTCATAAGTTTATAGAAATACAAAAGGGAAAACAAGATTAAAGATTCCATGGCTGTACAGTTTAATACTGTTAAAATTTACTTACCAATTCTTTGATGCTTCAACACCAAATTATTTTCCCAAACTTTTACATTTTTTATAGCACAAAGCCACAGAGTTGTGTTGTCATCCCTACTCTGCAAGCCTGGAGGGAAGGACAGGAAAACATACAAAATGTGCCTGAAAAGTTTTGTAATCTTTGTGTCACTGCAAGTGGCGTGGACTGACCCGTGTTTTGCTAACAATTAATAGTGTGCCTTCTTAAAGGACACTAGATAGAAATATGGCACCTGTGCCTGTGGCTCCCATATTTTCATCTACAAAATCCAAAACGAAGTTAAAACATAAAATAATTTTTTTCAGGGCAATTGCAGTCAGTTTTCCACATCTGTCCTGGATGCATGGGTTGAAAGGGCAGTGTGTACATAGTGGCCATTTTTCCACACACTCCAGTTGGAGAGGCACAGATGCTCTGAACAGCTGCCCAGGCAGTAGCTGGATGGGAATTATTTCTAGGCACAATTCTAACACTGTTACTGAAGTAAATCCACACTTATCAGTTGGTACAGTGCCTAAAACAAATTCTGAGACTACTGATTTAAAACCAGATCATTTCATACTGATGCATTCAGTGGGTGGTCATTCCACAGCCCAACAGATCCCAAACTACTTTTGAACGGAACGCCAGGTTTCCCCTGTGGCGTAAAACATTTTGATACTCAGACTTTGCAAGATGGGTGAAAGCTGCCATTGCAAGCTCAGCCTTCTACAGTGCTCAGCTCAAATGCAGGATTGCAATTAAAGAACAAGCTCCTAGGCTTAATGGGGACACCACCTCCTGCTTCAGACCATGCCCAGCTCCTGTGGCCAGGCACAGCAGAGAGGTAGACCATGGACCAAGTAAGTGGGTACTTCCCAAGCTGGGAGCAGGAAAGTGACAACTCATACATCATGGGACTCATAACAGCAGGTGAGCTTGGGGCTGGTCAGTTTTTGTGATTCATGTCCCATACTTGACACTTTCTGCTCTCCTGGGAAAGTCACTGCTAATTGGCATACAGAAGCAAAGACTATGGGGACCTTATAGTTTTCTATTTGTTTGGGTTTTTTAAAGCACAAAAACTGGCATGTTAAGAAAAGAAAGGTCTTCAAGGAATGCTAAATCAAACCCAAGAATCTCATTTAGTCTCTCCACTTCCAGACACGTCTGAATTCAGGAACAGAGTGCAAGAGATAGAGAGCTTAGAAAAGAAAAGAAGAATATTTTCATTACCTTTTCTGCAAGCCAGCCTAGATGCCTAATCTCTCGACTTCCAGCAATCCCTGTTTTACCCAGCTGGTCTCTGACCTCTGCAATCACCCTGGGGATGAGCTCATTGACACTGGAGTGGATGGCATTGAACCAGGCCTGGGCTGTCGCTGAATCCTTACTCCTGAGCACCACGGTGTGCTTGGCATCAGGTGAATGAACTTCAATAATTCTAAAAAAATGGGGGGAAAAACATTATATTCGTTCATACAGTGTTAGGCAGCTAAATTTATTACCTCGCTTAGTGATATCAATGAGTTAAAAAGAACGATACTAATATTGAGACCTAGCACTAAAAACTTACCTTTACAACACCTGAATACACCTTCGGGTGTATCATCTTAACGGAAGCCAGGGCTGTAGTGGCATTATGATAAAATCCTTGAGAAGGGGATTTGCCAGTGCTGATGCAACCCCATACCCCATGCACATATGCAACCCCATACTCCCATTGACACATGTCAATAGGAGTTTCAAATATGTAGGCAAGAGCAACATTCACTCACATGGCAGCCACCCAGAAACGCACGTAAGACGATTGGGGAGAAGCCAGGGATAAGTGGCTACCTTCTTTAGCTGGCCATCATGGCACAATCAGACTTTTTCATTTTGTTTACTTTACACCTACAGAGATAAATGAAAACCATTCCTCCTCCCAAGCACAGACATTCTCTTAGGATTGCACTGTAGTTTCAGTGACACCACTATGCATTAGCCAGAGGCTACTGCAACTGGCCTTCTCCAGGAGTTACCAGCATCCTCAGTGCTCCATTTAGATCCTGCTAACAGTGGCAGCAAGAAAGTGCTAACCACAACCATATGACTGCTGCTGGCAGGCATTTTTTGCAGATTTTCAAACTCCCGTGGAAAGAGATGAGTTTTTTTCAAAAAAACTATGCCTACTAGACCATCCTGTGGGTTTCCACCCCACCACTGTGGCTTGAAATGCACAAACAAACACAGTTTTCAGGAAAATGAATCCTGTTCGTTGTGGTTATGGGACATGTGCCAACACCTTTGCTAACAACAACAACAAAAATGCTTTGACAGGCAGCTGCAGCTATTTCAGCTTTGTTCTCAGTGAAGTTATTAGTTATTAGTAGGGCTTTGTGTGCTCTTTATAGCTTTGTGGGCCATTTTTACTTGAACATTTGTTAAATAACCCACAAAGTAATAGTCTTGTTTATCTTTATGTGGCAATTATAAAACCAAGCTCTGGTCATTGCCCATCACTCAACTCTCTATCACATTTGTGTATTTTCATTATAAAGGTACAGTGACTGCCCCTGAATGTTACCCTCACAAATTCGACCTGGGATCTGAGCCTAAGCACATACTTCTGTCCTGAGTATGGCTGCCCAATCTCTGGGACACACAATGACTCCTTTCTGCAGCAGAAAATTAATTAGTTCAGTGGAATTTATTCAGGTTGAGGTTCAAACCAGTACTGTAATGCAAATATTTGTTATGCAATTACAAAATCCTGCAATTTGGAGCTTAACTAACAATTAAAAGGTTTTAATTAATTGGTTAAACCAGAGCAGAATGCAGAACAGAGGGTGACTATCTGCATAGCTCTCTGGGGCTCAGAGAGCAAGGATCACTGGTTTCATGTTTGTCCATTTTGGGAAGGGGAGGTCTCCATGTAGACACTGTTCTAAAGATAGAAAAGGTCATGATTTTCCAAACTCAGCAGCTGAACTGTTCAGGGTCCTAAATCACTGGATAGCTTAAAAAGCGGGCTGATTTTTCAGAAAGCGCCAAGCCAGCACAGTAATGCATGTTTCCTCAGTAAAGCTGCTGCAGCTCAGCACTGTCTGAAAATAAAGGTTCTTATTTAGCTGCTCCAGGATGCACCAAACATTCAACTTCAGGTACCAAAAGTAAAATTCCCTGTCAGATGATGCCAGTCTGGTGAATAAGAAAACTATGTTTATAGATAGACATGCTCCCAATCACACTCTCACTTTTTCTGAACTGGGAGAAAAAGTAATCTCCCTGATGGTTATGATTTAGCCGCTTGTGTTCACTGATTATTACGGTCATGCACAGCTATCACAACTTGGACTGTCTTCCTATCAGAAACACTGCTCTCTTTGCCATCCGAACTGGAGTTTCAGGTTGTTCTTGTAGGCATCCATCAATGAAAAGAAACTTATGCAGGCTTGGATTTTCAAAGTACATTGTGGTAATCAGTGAAATGTTGCTTATTATCTACAGAGCACTTTTTGGCAGGAGATCTTACAGCATTTTACAAATGAGGTCAGTGACAGCATCCCCATTTCACCACCAAAAAAAGCAGAAAAGTGAAGAACCCAGACAAGGGAGCAGCAATTAGGATTTTCAGCACTCTGTCTCCCATTTTAATATTTCTTTTAGAAACAAAAATTATTTGAACATTACTGGAACATTTGTTGAACCAGCATTGTGCTGGTTTTGAAAAATGTTAATGCACCATATGGATGGTGCAAAACAATGCTCTTTACAAAGCCTGTGGTTTCTATACGGGAACTGCCACCTACAAAGTCACTGCACATCAAGCAGTAAACAAAGTGCTGAACACGAACTATAAAGAGTCAGAAGAATGTGCTGCTCTTTCAGTTGCAAAGGAGCAGCAGCAAACTTGTGTGATGTCTTTGTAAGTTAGAACTGTAGCAGGATTTGGTTTAAAAATAAATTATCTAGATCTGAAAGAGCTTTCAGATGGCAACTGCTTACCTCCAATTTGTAAATTCTTCCTTAAAGCAAGTGGATTAACATACAAACAACTATTTTGCTACTTGGGCCTTCATCGAAGTGTATTTCCCTTGATGGTGACTATTTAAGTATTTGTACAATACTTACAATAATGAACATTTAGACAGCTGTTAACAATTCTGTTTCAGGGTTCTAAACCATGCATATTCTAATATCTACACATTCAAATGTGATATCAAAGTATATATTCTAGTATACATATGCATACACAGCTACTGAGCCATGCTTGAAAAAAAACTCTTAAAATGGAGCTGTTTTGGGGAATGCTTGTCAGTCATCAAAGTTTGCTGGTGATACACTAACAACTGCAGAAAGTCTACCTTGTTCCCTGAGCTGAGTAACAGGATGACTGGACTATACATGTTACACTTCTCAAAAGTTAGTTCAAAACATGAATAAATGCTGCTTTGACAGCTCTGAAACTGCATCTTTTATTCATGGCACTTGCCCAGTCCCAGAAATACATTTGCAAGCATCACTCCTGTGCAAGCTGCTAGGTAGGGCACCTTTTATTTACACACACCTTAAGGATGACAGTCTAAATCCTCAACTGCCTGATCACTCGAAAACTTTTGGAAACCGAGCTTGCAGATTTCCACTGAAGACCCAGGACTCCTGTCTCCACAGTCAACTGGGATGGAGATACTAAAAGAAACTTAAAATCTTCCCAGAAACCCATGGGCTCTGACAGCAATCAGATGCTGAAAGTGCTGTGTCCCTATAAACTCTTCCCTTTTCTGCCTTTCAGCCTACGCTGCTTTGATTCACCAGACCATTTGGATGATGCTTTCTGTATAGCAGCTGACTGATGGCATTTCCATACTTTTTGAAAAGCAAAAAAATACCAGTGACCTGAGTAAACTGCAAGACTAAAGCACTTAAACATTTCCAGCAGTCCAGCCATTGTAGTTTTGATTTGTTCCCTGGCTAAACTGACCACCGCTTACTGACTTCTGTTTATCTGCAGTTCAGTGATAAAGTTCCCTTAATTCCCCAATGAATTGAAATATTTAGGGCAATGCCACAGCTGTGTTTATTCTCACACTCCACCACAGTTATGTAAATACTGCATATGGAGCTGTTTCTGATAAAGCCCATACCAACCCAAAGGAATTATATGTTAGCTCTAGATGACTGCCAAGATGTGCGGCATCTCTCCAGCTTGGCAATGCATATGAATGATATCACATTTTCTCAGAGATCATTTGGCAAACCTTATAATAAAAGAGTAATTTTCTCTCTCCTTCTCAAAGAGTCTCACTGAGCCAAGGAGTGTTTCCAGCATCCCCTTCTCCACCTGCAAAATACGGAGGTGACACAAAACCCAGTGCCTCCAAATGCTCCAACCTGGCACGTAAGAGGAAAACTCCATCCCTCGCTTCATCATCCAGACTTTTTACTTTAAAGAGGATCAGAAAAAGCTGAAAGCAAACGTTTGATAGACCATACTCATTCCCCATTTGATAAGGCCTCTTTCTGTAGGAGTGTTCATTATTTAAGAAATAACTTTTATCAAAACTCTTGAAAGCATTTCTCCCACCAGCATTGGCTCAGCACCAAATCAGGCACTGAGTTACACTTCATGCCTGTTCCCGGGTCAGATTATGCATTCAGTGACTGATTAAAGTCTGGAGTAAATCCCTTGAAGTTAATGATAAGCTGGAGCCAGAGTTATTTGAGTCCATCACGCTACTTTGATTTTGCACCGGCATAGCCAGGAATAAAACAGTCTGTCAGTGACCCTGCAAACTTAAAAATGAATCAAAGGCCAAACTGCTCACTCCATCTCCCGCATCATTGTCTGCACATGAAACCACGGTAAGTAATTTTATTTTTGAGTGTACAACAGTAGGAGCCTTTCCAGGAAAAAGGCAGATTTAGAGGAACACAATCTGATTTATATTTAAATAGTTGTAAGTTTTGTTATTAAATAAATTTAAAAAAACTGTTAAGGTTCTTTAGAATTCCACATGCAGTATCAGGAGATGAACCAGGAACAAAATATATTAAAATTAAGAAATGAATACTTTGGGTTTAATCTGCAAGGAAAATATTCCAGAGAGGCTGTTAGGCTCACAATGAAATTCCCAGCATACTCTAAAGAAGCATCTTCCTATGATTAACCTAAACGGAGGTGAAAACAATTTTACTAAGCGAGCCTTATTTGGTAATCAAGTGGAATTTTTCTATGTGAAAGTTCCTCAGTCCCCTCGCTGTCACAGGGGCATTTGCTGTATTAATAGTTACTTGATGACTTTCAACTTACAGTGCTAAAAGTATGTAGATACTTGTTCCTTGAGAGCTGGACTAGAGGGATGTCCAACTAGAGGGTGTATATATCAGTACTGAGCTGTCACAGTTGATTTAATTTCTATTTGCCACCAGCTGGGCTTTATTAAAAGGGATACCAGCAGA